TTGAGCATGCAGGATAGGATAAAGCTAAACAAAATATATAATTGAACATAGAGTATTGATCAATGATATAAGAAGAACATAAATAATATACTGAACATATTGAACATGAACTAAACTGAATGCAATGACCAAGTTCATAACATACTAAAACTGAATACTAAACATATAACTGGTAACCTGGTCAATGCACTAGAATCTGGCTATGGGAGCTACTGTTAACTGACATAAAACACGAGAGATATCTGTGGTGTCCGATGTATCGCCCCATCGAGAGGATCAAATTTACCTTGCCAAGGGTATATAAGGCATGACTAGCGTAATCACTAAATATGTTGCCCCACAGAGAGGACTTATCGTATGAGGGCACGTAGTTTTGGGACTAAGAGGGTGATTGGCCCTTAGTCCACTCGGTATTAAGCCTACTCCCAACTAATTATATAAATAACACATTACGATTTAGTTTTTGTAACACTGAATAGCTCAATATACTGACATGTTAATGAAAATACAACATTAATATATGGATAATGAAACATTCTTACTAAGGCATGTATATCTGAATAAACTAACCTAGCAAGTGTAATTCATAAACTAAACAAATCTACACAACTAGGGTTCTGAGTTTCAAACAAGAACTAAGAAACAATTCCACGAAAATATGATAATCTGATTTGGATTAGTCTAACAAGTAAATCACAACATAAATTCTGAACATCTAGAAACTCTAGGTCTAACATGATATAGAGAATAAGGAATCTACTTGAATTTAGGGACCTAATAGTTGAAAGGAACCCACTAGTGAAATTCCACATACCTGTTGATGCAATTAACGAAGAAATCTTTTGATTTTGGGGCTGGAACTGAAGAAAACTTATTGCGTTCTTGGAGAGGGATTGGTCGAATCTTTTTCCTTCTTTTCGTTCAACTTGACGAATTTTCAGAGAATGAGTTTACTAGGTTTAACACCCCAGAAAAAATTTCCAACTAAGACTCGAACCATTCCTTGTAGTGAGCGAGATTTTACCAAGGAATTAAAAATT